TGAGAAAAGACATCTAGGAAAATACCTAATATTCATATAAAATGTAATTTTCACAGATCTATTTAAAGTGCTCTTAAAATAGTTCGATCTCTATGCCAATCACAATTGACATTTTTATTTTACTTATTCTTAATATTTTAAATTCTTCACCAACCCCCTAAAAGCTATAAAATGATTAAGCTGCTTTTAGGATATAGTTGAAAATCATCTCCACAACCTGCCTTGGGTGATTAAACCCTGATCACCTCCTCAGTCTAGTTTTGGGGCCCCCTAACTCCCTAAGCTGCAATCACTGTAGCCTTCTTTAAGGTTGAAAGCATCAGAAATTTTCTACCTTTGGCCCTTTGCACAAGCTGTACCCTCTGCTAGGAGTACTCTTTTCTACACACTTCATTGGCTAACTTCTACTTATCCTTTAGCCATGTTTAAAATCTTCCCTGATATCCATATAAATCCCCATTTTATCTCTCCTCACATTATTTACTTTTTTTTAATTGAGACAAAATTCACCAACACCATTTACTTTTGCTTTGTGGCACGTGCTACTGTTTTAAATGATATTTACTTACAATTTCTTGTTTAATGCTTTCTTGTCTGCCTCTCTCTCCATGGTAAACCCCATGACTGCAAAACCATGTCTATTTATTTATCTCTTTAATGGGCCCCTTAAGGGCCTACCATAGTGCTTGGCACACAGTAAGCACTCAAAGATTTATTATATGAATGAATGAGTATCACCATCTTTTGCTTCCATAATGGTATAACTGTCCTAAATCTAGGCTTCCAGACTTGCTCCAAACACAGGAACATCGAGGAAAAAAAGAATGGCTTCAGCAGCAGAGATATAGTCTCTCAAAACTCAACAAATAAATGCAAGTGGAACTCCGGATTTTTCCTCAACACTCTATTTTGTGTCAGTTTAACACACAAATAAAAGTAGTATTCTGTATCACTTGGCAAAAAAGGCCAAACATTTTTCCAAAAGGCCAAGGTACACAAGAGAAACAAATACAAAAACAAATATATAAATAAGTCATTGGGACAATTAAGTGCATAGATAAATTTCAGCAATTAAAATCAACAACAGGAATAGCTGCTGAACAGGATTGGAGGCAACCACTGGGTACAAACTGCAAACACAGACAGCAAAAAAGAGAATCTGCAGGAAGGAGTAAGAAATAGAACATTTCTGCCCTCTGGGGAAGCCAGTAGCTAGTGCCACATCAATTCTGAGACTCCCTAAGGCCATCCACATAAACAATCCAGCCGTAATAATCTTAATGCACATCACTTTCAGGCCCTGAAACATTCAGGGGCATTTCCCTGTCTCATCAGTTAAATCCTGAGTTCCAAACTCTGAGTCTTGGACTACATAAGAGGTCACCTGCTTTCTTCTCCAGCCTCATTTCTACTCTTTCCTTTATATTTACTGTTTCTGTCAACCTCTGTTACCTGTTGTTCCTCATTCTCCTCTGTGCTTTGACCTTGCCTTGCCTAGATTGCACAGATTGAACTCTCTTTCTTCTCTAATTTTTTTCTTTCACCTTTCACGAAGAGGGGCAAGTGTTGAGGACTGAGTGGAACATGGTCTAGAGGGCTTCACTGAGTGTCCTCAGAGTTAGACTGTAATCCTGGGGGTGGGACTCAGAGCTGAGACTCCAGTCTTAGGGACAGCCTAGCAGAAAAAGGTCAAAGCTCATGTATGGATGAGAGAATAGATGCCCAGGGGTCTTGAGTTTGGCTCTCTGAGGATGGAAGAAGTCTGGTCACCACACCTGGGATACAGGAGTAGATGGAGGACTTGCAGCAAGTCTGACTTGTTGCTGGTCACCTAAGTGACCAAATTAGGACTGTTTCTTATTTACCTGGTTTAGCATGTACCAATTAACAGTAGGTAATAAATATTTTCTGAATGAAAGACTGAATTAAGTAACTGAACAGGAAATAAAATCCACTGAGTAGTGGCAGATTTCATTTCACAGCCTGGGATTAGAGTAGTATAAGCAAACACAACCGTGGCATACAGAGGGACAAAGATAGGGAACAGCTGTCATTAATGTGCCCCAAATGCCACTAAAAGCATATTAGGGCTGCCTGAGTTACCATGGTCTGAGCCGAGATGTGAAGCCTAGTTCAGAAAATTTAGCCTTCCTCAAGTCAATCCTGTCTAGACTAAACCCTTCTCAGTCCAATCCCTTCTTTCTGAGAAAAAAAGAGGGAAAATGGAAACAAAGAAATGGAGGGAGGGATAATTTTCAATACTCATCTTCCCCCTTAAGCCTCCATTTTTATTATCTCAGATAGCTGCTCAGAAATTCCTTTACTCTTAAGAACCTCAAGAATCTTTTGCTTAAGTGTGCCAAGGGCTTCTTTTTTATAGTTTTAGAGTAGGAGAATGTAGTAAGCAGAAAAATATTTTGAAACTAAACAGTAACAATGATCCCTCGAATAATCAAGTCTCAGTATCCTATATGAGGATAAGGGGAATTCGCATACACGTATATGATGAATCAGCCACCTACGGAAGCCTCCTCTAAGAAAGAAGTTGTTCCAGGGTCCCCAGGACCACCCATATGTACATAGTTGTACTGTGGCTAACTTTTATTACAGTGAGAGGATATCAGCAAGAGAAAAACACAGGTAGAATCTGAAGAAACCCAGGCACAAGCTTTCTGATGTTCTTTCCCTCCTCTGAAGGTATACCCCGAGAACACTCCCTTTCACAGCAGCAAACAATGTTAGTGCCTAGTGAAGTGCATTAGAGAGACAGCACCCAAGGTTTTCATTGTTTTTCTGTGGCACGTCACACAGGCACTCTGTGCCTAGGGAAGTTCATTATAGACACGGCACCTGAGCTTTTCTTTCTGGGCTGGTCACATAGGCACTGTCAGCCTAGCAACCATCAAAATTCCAGATTCTCAGAAGGAAAGCACGTGTTCAACATAAATAGTACAGTCTGTACAAAGAGTTTAGGCACAGTGAAGCACCCTTATCAATTAGGAGATGGAGGGAACAGTTCAAGTGTCAAGTTCCCAGATGCCTGGCAGGGGCTCACTGCCAGCCCTTTTGCAAGCCAGCCCTTTTGAAGACAGCAGCCTCAGGCTTCCTCTGTCAACTCTTTTCTAAAGCGATTTGTAAATGTTGCTAATGAGAGTGAAGTACCTCCCAAAGTAAGAGACAGTATTAGGGAGCTGCCAACCTAAAGCTTATATTAATTAGTTGTATTTTGCAGGAGAAAGCAGAGGATAAGATTGGGGAAGTGACCTGTCCAGAGTTATAACAACATAACACAGGGTTTAATTTCAGGTGGTCCTATAACTTACATTCTTTATATTCTATTTTTCTTCTCCTTTAACTAGAAGTCAAGTTAGGATTAGTCTCCCAAGATGTGCTCACCCTGCATTTGAATGATAAGTCAAGTCTGAGAGCTACAAAAGCAAGGAAGAACTAGGTCACTCTGCCAAAATGCCTAAACAGCCTTTCAGCTTCACCCCTCACCAGAATCACAAAATCACTCCCAACTAGATCAGGCAAGTCTCCAGTCACCATTGCTCTTCTCCTACTGTCAGACAGCATTCTCTTTCCATCTGCGAGAAAGCCGTGTGGAGGAAAAGGAATCCCATTCCTTCAACACTACCACACTGTAATGAGTCTCGTCACACACGGGTGGGGGACGAAAGCTGACATTTACCTTTCACCTACTCTGTGCAAGGCACTTGATGCTTGAATTCATTCAATCCTCAAGAACCACTTCACCTCACAGATAAGTGAACAGAGGCTCTGAGAGTTGAGCTAACTGGTGGAAAACAATGCAGAGTTGTGATAGTGCAGGGACCAAACAGGTCTGACTCTAAAATCTGTGTTCTTTCCACCATCCCAAGCACACCTTTGAGTTGCCTTTCACCTTTTTCCCAAGATAAGGATTCCTCTGGCCTAAGTTCTCCTTTTTTCTTCTGAAGCAATCCCCAGATCGAGTCTGTAACCATTGACAGTTCACTCCAGCTTCCCTGCCACTGTCCCTTCAAACACAATCTTCTACCCGATCTGACGCCCTCTCTAGTGTCACAGAAAAACAAGCGCATATTTGAATTTCACGAAACACTCTAGATACACTATTTCATGTGCCCTTCACGACAATCCCGTGAAGTGGGTAAAGCAGGTAAAAGCACCCCCATTTTACAAGAAAGGCATCTCCCCAAAGCCACGGAATAAAAAGCAGGGGAAGTAAACAGCAGAGTCTTGGATTTTGACCCTGGTCTTCGGCTTTTCCCACTGCTCCTCCCTGCCGCCCCCGTTCCCAACCCAGCGATGTCACAAGGTGCCCCCTCGTCTCGAATCCGGGCCTGTAATTCACACGTCCCTCCCACACCCACCCACTCGCAGCATCCTCGCCTGTGCTTGCACACGGCCCACTCTCCCACGACTCCCTCTCCTTCCCAACTCCCTCTGCCCACGGGCTTCCTCACCGGGCCGGTCACCTCGGCTCACTAGTCCCCTCACAGGCGGTACGCAACCCCCTTCTTCGCCTCCTGCAGGCCCTCGCCCAGCCTCCCAGCTTTGGCACCCCGGTTCCCTACTGCTGTCAGCCCGCGGCCGGGTCGGCCCAGGCTACCTTCTCCAAGGATGCAGGGCTCTGCACGGCTAGGGAGCGGGCCAATGACAGGACCGTGTTGAAATAGAAACCCCGCGAGGCACTGGAGCCGGAGCCGGTGCCGGTGCCGCAGCTGGAGCCGCCGCCTCCCCGGGCCGCCGCCGCCGCCGCCATCATCTCGCGCACAGCGGCGCTGGCCGCCGGCTTCCCGCACCCGGCCCGCGAGCGCCGGAGCTCACTGCGCAGGCGCGGCCGCATCCGGCTTCCCCACCACGTGACCTCTATGTTGCTGATACAGGGTGGGGCGTGGCCATGGGAGGTCCGATCTTTAGAGGGGAGGAAAAAGCCGTGCGATAGGCAGGTCGTCACGCGCCAGGAGTGGTCCCCCCCGCAAGCCGGGGGCACAGTGGTCTGCTCCAGAGGTGTGGCTGCCCACTCGCGACGCTCGGCTGAAGCTCGCACTGCGACCGCGGGGCCGACAGGCTGAATTCATCGCTGAGGGAGGGCGGCTGCCCGGTCGGGCTCCAGGGCGGTGGGTGTTTCCCGAGGACTCCCGGAGGGCAGCGGGGACTCCTGAGGCCCCGGAAGGGCCGTTCCTCGCCTCGGCCGCGCAGCTTCTGCTCCTGCCCCGAGTGAGTCGAGCGTCCTCACCATGTCGGCCTACCCCAAAAGTTACAACCCATTCGACGATGACGCTGAAGATGAGGGCGCCCCGCCAACACCGTGGAAGGACTCCAGCGACCTCTCTGTCGGGTCCGGAGCGCCTGCGGACAGGCAGCAGTACCTGCGGCAGGAGGTGATGCGCAGGGCCGAGGCCTCGGCCGCCAGCACCAGCAGGTCTCTGTCGCTCATGTATGAGTCCGAGAAGGTCGGCGTCGCCACTTCCGAGGTGAGTCTGGAGCAAGGCTGGACCGGACACGCCAGTCTGCGTTGTCACAGGGGTCAAGAAATGTTTTATTCACGACGATTGGGGAATTCTTGAATTGCCTATAATAGGTTCTCATACTTTAGTGACTTGATGTTTTGTAATATAAAGAGACGTGCATCCTGAGTACTTCAAAGAGGGAGTTTGCCCCCAGGAACTTTCCTTAGCCATTAGCCTGCTTAGTTGATTCTATTTTTGTACTCCTAGTTCAAAACTACACTCTACACTGTGTCCTGTCCAGGTAAGTAAAAATTTTCAACAGCATGGCCTGAGTTAGGGAAATAGAGGGTCTGTTTCTTTTTCGTAATTTTCTGGTTAGAAGCCTTGCCCAAAGACTTCAGACATTCCTCCTCCAGTGGTCAGAATGAGTGAGGACTGTGTGCATGTTGGTGTCTGGAGCATAAGGGCAAATGGGCCTTGATTTTTTTCCAATCAGTGACCAGTTCACCTTACCAGTAGAGATGTTGAGGTCTTGTCTGCTTGGACACTTGTTGAGCAAGCCAAAGCACGAGTTAGTCAAGTCTAGGGACTTATCTTTACTTTTAAAATCCAAACAAAAATCTAAATAGACAGTGTGCGGTTGGGACAGTCCATTGCTCCAACTCACCTATCAGTTCGTTCCATCCATGGATTTCAGAGGAGGGTCTTCAGTGAGGATTCTTAAGTGAGGACCTTAAGTGAGGTTCTTTTCTTAGGCACCCCATTCTCACCTCAATTTACTAATGATTTCGTGTGGGCCTTTTTTCTTTCTTTCTTTTTTTTTTTTTTGAGTTTTAAAAAACCTAGTAGTAGATTACTGGTGTGTCAGCCAAGAATAATTAATCTTAAGCATATATAGCTTTGAAATGTAATCCTAGAAGTCAAAGTATTGTCTTTCCCCGTGGGTCTTTTTGTAATTCTTTTCCCTGGCTAATTTCATTCAGATCTGAGCACTTAATGGTCTTGGGCAGTTTTGAGGTATATTGATTAACTTCTCAAATAGGCATCATTTCCCCATTGCCCCTTCTTTCATTGATTTCCCTAATGTGTTTCTTCTTGTCACAGTATCCCTCATTGGCCCACCTTCATATCTCTTAGCCTTGTTAAGGAAGTTTAGCTTGTAGTTCCTAAATGTCATATCAACTGGATTCCTATTTTTTAATCTAAAGGGAAAATGTTGACTTAGATTTCAGAGGATCGTTGGGGTCTTAAGGCTCTGGTAGAGGAATCGCTTAGATTGAGTGTCCCAGACTCAAGGAAGCCAACTACTAACTGCTTGAAGAGATATATTTGGAAACAGTTGAGAACAAACAAGTAGGAAATTAGAATGATACAAAGTTGAGTGTCATGACAGCAGATAAATTTGAATCTGGCTTTTAAGACTAAGGTTTAGATAAGAGGAGTGAGGACGCAAAGGGATGTTCCCCCGGGGGAAAAAGGAGCAATGCAAAGGCATTGGTCTGGCACCAGGGCTCCTGGGCTCCTGGGCTCCTGGGCAGGGAAGTGAGGCATAGGATGAGAATGCGGTAAGAGCCTGGAGGAGGCAGCTTAGGAGCCTTTTGTGATCTAGAGGGAAGATCTGGTGTCATAACTTAAGAGAGCCAAAAACATAGAGGATGTGAGTTGTTTCATACGAATTGTGTTGATACACCCCATGCTGTCCCCAGAGGTTCTTCTCTCTATGCAGTGGGAACTGTGAGAGCAGAAGGGTGGCACCTGAGGCCTGTGAGGCTTAGTCTGGGCCAAGCTGGTATCACTCTGAGAGGTACAGTGTGATCATGACTGAGCAGTGACAGGCTCTCTCATTAGCATGAGTCCATGCTGAATTTTTCTGTTCTCAATTATCAGAGGCAGAAATCGTCAGCACACCTGCTCCACCCTGCTTCACACTCTCCAAACTGTCTTTCAGCCACTTATCACTCTTTCATTCCCCTCAGAGTGGCAGTGGGAAGTGGGACAGGTGAGTGCTTCCTGCCACTCAGTGCCCAGGGCGGTTCCCAGCAGACCCAAGTCACCTGCTCACCTCCCAGCTTAAATGGATGCCTGCTGGATACCCAGCACTATGAAACATCCCAAAGCATGACGGATTTTTATGGAGGATAGGAGTTTACATAAAATACAGGGTTGGGAAGGTTATAACTCAGTCCCAGCTTGGCAGAAGTAGGAAAATTAGTCAAGTCACTTCTAGGGAAGGAGAGCTGCCCTTCTCCTGTGAAACCTTCAAAGTTTGTTTCTCACAAAGACTAGCCATAGGTCATGACTGCCAACGGGCAGAGGAGAAGTAGACAGGGCAGAGCAGGTCACACTCGGCTGGCCTGGTAAGCACACTCCAGGACCATTGAGAGACTTGTGGGCTATTCAGCTCTTCTATATCACAGGTGTAATTTATTTCTTTTTTTCTTTTCCTAAGGTTTAATTTTTGTGAAGCAATAATCTAGTCACATGGTTCAAAATTCAGAATATATAGAAAGCTATGAAGTGTCCTCCTACCCTTCTGCCCTGACAGCAGCCACTTACTGTTAATTCCTTAGATGTTTTATAGAGATATTGTGCCTATAAAGGTATAGTTATGGTCGTCTCTCCTTTTTATTTAAATTTTACCTTAAGCAGAAGCATTCTATACATTTTACTCTGCTTAATAGGATTGGAGGTTATTCCATAGCAGTATATGTGCGCTGCCCTTTTTTTTTTTTTTTTTTTTTTCAGGCTATGCCATCTTCCATTGAATGATGGCTTCTGTTTATGTAGTAAGTGCTGAAATGATGGGCATTTGAGTTATTTGCACCTTTGTGTGAACCGGTCTGTGTCCTGCTTGGACTCTGTGTTCGTATACCCTTTCCCCACCCTGGCAGAGGAGCCTGCCCAGGGCATTTCACATCCCCTCTGGCAGTGAGCTGAGCATGCTCCAATGACATACTGTTGGGCCCGGGACCTCAGTGCAGAGAAGTCCAGCAACAAACATTAGACCCGGCCCTGAACAGCTGGTGCAATAACATTGGTGCAAAGGGAGTGGTTTTTAGCAGTTTGAACATGATGCCCTTGGCACCCCCAGCCAGAATGTCCTCGACACAATCTTGTGCAGGGGCCGCACTTGTCTTCTCGGTGTCTTTCCAGCACTCCACAGTCACCAAAGCCACACTGAGCATTGTAGTTCAGAGGGGTGAGCAAGAGGAGAACACCCTCTTAGCCCGGGAAAAGAGGACATCATGGTCATCTTTTCATGCTATCTCCATAACTTACGGTGGTACCCATATTCTCTGGGAGACTGGCCTTGGAGCAGAACCTTCTCCGCTGCAGGGACTGTACAGACCAGAGTCTCCCTTCCAAGTCAGCCAGTGGTGGTTCTGATGTGGCCATAGTTCTTATCACAACTGTATCCTGACATAAAGGCTGATGAAGGGGGAAAACATCTGCCAGGTTAAGTAATTCTCCAGTAGATTTCTAAATGTCAGCTATGCAGGAGGATCAGTCACTTGCTCAACCTTCTACTCCCACACTTTTCAGCACAGTATCCCTTATGTCATTAGGTGCTCCACAGATGGCTGCCAGGGGAATAAATGACCTGGGGAAGGGAAGGAAAAAGAAGGGGAGGGGAGCAGAGGATTGATTGGTATTGGAGGAGAGATTCAGGTGGGAAGAATGAATTCATCTGTGTGACTCTGGATGAAATCTTCCTCTTGGTGGCCAGAAAATACCTCCATAGGTATTTTAGGCTTTCTACCAGGTGTAAGGGGCTCTAACAGAAATGTCATTGGACCACATCTTCATCAATAGGTCTTTTGGATTTGTGGTGGTGTTTTTTTTTTTTTTACTAAATTTTTCATAGACTGTCAGTGATTGAATTTGGAAAATTTTGGGATCCTAGGCAAACTTGTTGGCTCCTTAGCTGCAACAAGGCACCTTGTGAGGATGAGTTGTTACCATTCCCTTAGGTCAGACATCCCATGTCAGAGATGTGGTTTTGGGTGGTATCTGCTGAAATGTCCACTCATGGCTGCCTTGTCACCCTGAGGGACTTTGCTCTGCTGACCAGGTGGTGTGCTGTGGGATGCTGAGGGGCTCTCTGCCCTCAGCCTTCCACCTCTGAGTTGGTAATTCTGAGAATGGGAGGTGCTGTTGGAGATGTTGTTTGAAGGTCCCCAAAACTACGCTCAGGTTCAATGATTTTTTTAGGACTAACAGCAAAACTGTTACACTTGTAGCTAAGGTTTGTTACAGTAAAAGGATACAGATTAAATTCTCAAAGGAAAAAGGCTCATAAGGCAGAGTCCAGGAAAGACCAGGTATGAACTTCCATCTCTTCTCTCCCCATGGAGTTGTGTCGACAACATGTACTTCTCCCAGCAATGATGTGCAACACACACAGAGTATTGCCAAAGAGGCTCACCCAAACCTGGGATCCAGAAATTTTATTGGGAGTTAGCCATGTCTGCATGGACGCCTACATGGCTGCCCACCTGGCTGACTTAAGTGTCCAGCACCTCCAGAAGTCAAGCGTGTTGGCCCAAGGCCCCCATCATAAATCACATTGGTCGCATAAACCATTTGACCTGGCCTAAGTACTCACGTAAAGAAAGACACTCTTATCAGGGTAATTCAAGGGCAAGAAGGCAGACAACGTCCTTCTTTGGAATGTACAGGATGTGGGCAATCCAGGCCTACTGAGCTAGTCCTTCACTTGGGCCCCTGGTCTGTGTGCACACACGCAGTGAGGGGCACCAGCATTACTGTTTGTCCTTGGTGTTTTTTTTATGTAACCTAAGATTCAGTTTGTGATTTTGAATCCTTCATGCTGTCACTGTGAAACATGCTGAGACTCACATGCTACTGCACTGAGACAGAGCCCGCATTTGCGCATGCTCCACACATGCCCGTGCATCCCTGCCAGTGTCTGTGCATGTGTGTGCTCTTTGGAAGAGGAGCTACATAATGATGATAAATTTCAAGTTTCTAGATTCAGCTTTTTGACCTCAAACTGATGTCTGCCTACTTATCATTTGAAACCAGAGCTTAATTACAAGCTCAATATGAGAAACTCAGCATCGACACCCTCTGCTCAGTTTCTCAAGAGTGTGACTCAGGCAAGGAAGATGCGAAGATGCATCTGACAATTGGAGATGCCTTGGCTGTGAATTGGGGTTGGGGTCTGGTAGTCCCTGCTGTCCACTGCTCTGCCCCTCATTGATCCCTGCTGGGTCCTGCCTGGCATCCCTGCCCAGTCCCTGTCTTGCTCACCACATACAGTTTCTCTTCCTCTCTCAGTTCCCCCAGCTGGTCCTGCCCCCAGGGGCCGCTGCACTGGCCACTCCCTCTGCCTGAATGCTCTTGCCCTACCCCAACCCTTTGACTCATTAACTTCTAAGCTTTCAGTTTCTCACCCCATTGGGAAGCCTCCCTACCCTCCCCCCTTAAACCAGGTGAGAAGTCTCTGTGAGGGGCTTACCCTTTCAGAGCCTCGATCCTGTGTATATGATGACTTTCTTTTCTGTCTCCCCTACAAGATTGTAAGCTCAGTGCAGCAAGGACCCAGTTGCCTCCCTTGGCTTCTCAGCACCACAGTGTTAATCAGCAGTGAGAAATCAAATTTAACCTCCCTCATATTGTTCTCTGCTAAACAGTCAACTCCATCGGGGCAGCGATTTCGGATGTTCATCCCTGAATTCCATGCACCTGGATCAGTACCTGGCAGAGAGAGAAAGGGTGTTTGATAATAGGTATTGGTGGGTACCTTGTAGCACTCTGTCATTGTGTGTGTGTGTGTGTGTTTTCAAAGAGCACTCTGCCAGCTATGATTCCCCAATGCCTTCACATCCTCGCATGGCGCTCGAACATACTCCCATCAGTCAGGTGACACCTCACATCGGGCAGTGTACACCCTAACAGTATCTTCAGCTGTCTTTTTACTTTTCCTTGTTCTCTCAGGAATTCCTGTGCTTGACAAAAAGCCACAAGCCAAAGAGGAACCAAGACACTTCCTCTCCCTTGTTGTTCTCAGCGTTGCACCTTCCGCCAGCCAGATTTTTCCTCTGATCTTCTTTTCTGGTTTAACTTTAGAAAACTCCTTTGGGGCTCAGTGTAGAGGAGGAATCACCTGTAATGCTAAAGCCAGAGCTGAGAGCTTCGCATGTGTGACCTTTACGCTGAGGGCACTTTGCAGACCTCACATCCACCCTTGTCTCGTAGGTGACCTCCCATTCTCACAGGAACCAATAGAGAAGACCTGATGTATCCCTGCTTCTGGGGGATGGGAATGTTTGAGTCCTGCCTTTGTAATGGCTGGGGTGCAGGGCCTGCCTGGCCTATCCTTTCTGTCCTGGCACTCATTCTTGGTGTTTGTTCTGCCAAGCCCTTCTTCCTCGTTGGTTAGAACTAGGTCACAGGTACATGGAGTCCAGTCCCTTCCTCTGCCTTGGAGGAGGATTTTAACATAATTTCCTCCTCTGGTGGCCTCCTGACCAGCAGATCACCTCCAGTAAACACCAGCTTCCAGCTCAGAATCTTTCAGACACCAGAGCAGCACTTACTCCCTGGCCTTCCAGCCTCACAGCAGGACAAGCCACCTCCACAAATTTCTCTGTACTTCTATCATAATATCTAAATAACATATTTGGTCACCTTACTGAGTAAGCACAGTGACACAGACTCTGAGAGTTTGAAAGACTGTGTCACTTGTGAACAGAAAAAAATAAAATCTAACTGTGACTTGAGAGAGGTTTTGTCCGCTGCTTGTTACTGCTCTGACTCTCCAAATTGACGTGGACACGCCAAGGTGGGAGGGCAAGTATTGGGTTGGCCAAAAAGTCTGATACTTTTCTTCCATAAATTAAAAGACACACTCTTCATTTTCACCAATAACTTTATTGATTTGGATATTTTGAGTATGTTGGCTATCTCCTGCTATTGGCTTCTCGTGGGTAGAAGCCAGCGGTGCTGCTAAACATTTTCCACATTTTTCCAATGCATAAGACAGCCCAACAATAAAGAATTTTTTGCCCAAAATGTCAGTAGTATAAGAAACTTTGCAAACTACTTTTGACATGTTCGATCAGTCACAGCACCTTTTCCATACACTGCATAAATCTTTTTTTTTTTTTGCATTTCAGTTGCATTTTTACCTTTCTTGAAATAATGAAGCATAATACACCAAAAACGTTGCATGTCTTCTTCCATCTTCAATATTAAAATGACTATACAAAAATTCACCGGTTCCGATAAGTGTTTTTTTAATGTATGCTGATAAGACAGCTGTCATGATACAACCTAACAAAATTGTTTCTAATGAAGTTAAAGCAAACGAAGCACTGCTAGAGCCATCATATGGAAAAAAAACATAATAGACTTTTAATGTATTTGACCAACCCAGTAGTTGGCGAGATGAGTGGAACTGTGATGGGAGGGTTCATCGTGAGGGAGGCCAAGAACCTGCCTCCGGCTGGGCAACAAAGCCCTGACCACCACTCCCAGCCCCGGCTGCCCAAAGTGCCTCTTCAGCTTCAGATTTTTCTCTCTTCTGCAGCATGTGAAATAAGCTGGGTGCGAGTGAACTATTAAAAATATGTCAACTCAGAAAACACATGAATGCTGGAGAAAATCATTTTAATCCTAATTTATAGTTCTCCCTTGTTCCAGAAAAGACTTACTTCAGAATGGATATGAAGATGGCTTGAGGTATTGGAAGTAGTAGAAACTCCAGATAAATTAACAGATTTTTGTTTCCTGAAAATTAACCCTTGTCAGATTTGCTTAACATATTTGAAGAACACAGCCTAGAAAACAATTTTTCTTTTTAATTGACAAAGCCTGGCGATTTCTTCAGACATATCTCAGGCTGCTGAAAAACATTGAAATGTTCAAAGTTGTAAAGTTCTGTAGTTATAAGTTTATTTCCAACAAGAGTTAAGCAGAATTCAATAGTAATTTCAAGCGGTGCTTTAGCTTTTTGTCTAGACATTACATTTTTTAATTTTATCCACTAAACATTCAGAACTCAAGTTATATGTTGGGCCCTAAATATCCTAAAAGCCTTTTTTAAATCTGAAATATATATCTGAGATACACATGCACACACACATCTTTCTTTATATCTGAAATGGGCTCTCAAATCCACTGTCTAGAGTTTTATTTTTATCCTTCAGATTTTCGGGTGTTTGTTTACATTTTTCATGACTTTGTTTTTAGGTATCAGGAGAGACCATCTCCACAGATTATTTGCACAATTAATTTGTGGAGCCACAGGGAGATGCAGAGATAGGAGATTGAGAGGAGGGCAACAGAGGGCAGGGGCTGCCTCATGAAATAAAAGAAGATGATCTTGAGAGGCTTGGGAGGCTTCTGGCTGGAACAGCAGATCACAGGGAGTGGACAAGGTTAGAATAGCCTGAAGTAGGGGCTGAAACAGGTTTGGCACAAATAAAGAAGGTGTTAGTGTTTCTTTAGTGGTGAGTTCACATCTGCAGCCAGAAACATCAACTCTTGGGAAATAAGATCCAGACTGTCCTCATGGCCACCAAGCATCATTCATGTGCCCATTCATCAGATTTACAGTGAGCAAAGCAGGTCCCTGTCCCATAGAACTTACATGTTATAAAGAAGACTGATAAGTAGGTCAAGAATAGAGTGTTGAGGATGAAAGGAGGAGTTCCGCTTTAGAGAAGGTCTTCAGGGTAGACTCTTTGAGGAAGTGGACTCTTCATGGACACTCAAATTAAGTGAGGGATAGAGTCATACAAGTACCTGGATGAGGAGCATTATAGGCAGCGAAAGTAGCATGTGCAAAGGCCCTGTGACAGAGTCACTTTTTGTGCAAGTTTTAAAACTGACACCATGGGTGAGCCGGAATCAGACACTAATAGGGCCCAGAAAGGACCCCCAGGATTCAGTCCACAAAAATTAAAGACACGACCAAAGCCAGGTAGCTCAATGGGAATATCCATATCTGAAAAGAAAGAGTACAAAATCATAGTCCATGGGACTGTAGCAGGTCAAAGCCTATAAGGGTTACCAGGGCCAAGGGGAGGGCTAGAGAGAATCTGCTGCCAGTACAGGCCCTGCACTCTGATCCCCAAAAGCACACTTCATCCATCTTAACATGGACCCCAGAGCAAATGAAAAAGCAAACAAATAGAGGTAGCGAAGGGAGGGGAGGATAAAGGAATGTGTTGTCAGAAAGGATAGCATGCCCTTCACAAATGACGGTTTCTGTCCCCATATGTGCTCACTGAGGGTTTATGAAGAGCCTGCTGTGTGTGGTCCTATATAGGAGAGGGAGACTTAAAAACAAATAATGTCATCACCTCTGGTTTTCCCCAGGAGCTCGTCCGACAGCGAGGAGTCTTAGAACGCACAGAGAAGATGGTGGACAAAATGGATCAAGATTTGAAGATCAGCCAGAAGCACATTAACAGCATTAAAAGTGTGTTTGGGGGGTTTGTCAATTACTTCAAATCTAAACCCGCAGAGACCCCACCTGAACAGAATGGTACCCTCGCCCCCCAGCCCAACAGCAGGTAAGTGGGTTTTCAGCCATCCTGATATGAAATAGAAAAAAGTGGAGTTTAGTGCAAATGGCCAAGACTCTCAGGACACTTAAAGGGATTTGGGAACCTTGTCAGTTTTTCACTGGGAAGGATTCCTCTTCAAACAGTTTGAAACAAGAAATATTTCTCTAGCACTCCTGATTTACCTTCATTTGATTGACATCTGGTCTGCACATTTGGCATCAGTTGGGTCTCCAGTAAATTACTGCTCCCATAATTGTGACCCCAGTAATTGGAAAGAGAGTGTTCACTTCAGAAAGCTTAATCAGTACAGATGTGACTCACTTCACCAAAATTTTGCTTGGAAAAGTCTTTAAAGTGAACTTTTCCATATTTAATCTAAATTGCTAATTGATTTTCATTTTAAAATTAGATATTATTCTTCTCAAATTTTTGGCTCGAGAATAATGAAATCATACATATGATTTTGGCAGGCATTTAAATATCACATGTTTAAAAGATACAGGAACTGAGCCCTCGCTGGTATGACTCAGTGGATTGAGTGCCAGCTTGTGAACCAAAGTGTCATGGTTGGATTCCCAGTCAGGGCACATGCCTGGGTTGCAGGCCAGGTCCCCAGTTGGGGGCATGAGAGAGGCAACCACACATTGATGTTTCTTTCCCTCTCTTTCTCCTTCCTTTCCTTTCTGTCTATAAATAAACAAAATTTTTTTTTTTTTAAACAAAAGAATTGGGGGGCATAAGGGAGATAAATGGTAGTGGGAAAAAATACACTAAAAATAAATAAAAGATAAAAGAATTGAATTTCGCTAAAATAGATTACTACTATTCACACCTCAGATCACTGTGTGTGTTTTTGATTATAAAAACGATGTAGCCATATTACAGGAGATCTACACCTTACCTACCATAACAGAAAAACTTTAAGTTTTTCTTCTTACTCAGTAATTTCATAGTTGTATTGGAGTATTCATTTGGTTTTGTAGCCTGCTTCCATTTAACCAGAAAAATGTTGATGTAATGTTATTACACAGGTTTCATAACCATCTCTCTCTCACTGTGTGTGTGCATGCGCGCATGTGTGTATGTGTGTCTCTCAATTCTGGAATACAGAGCTATTTTTCAAGAGGTTTTTTGTTTGTTTGTTTGTTTGTTTGTTTGTTTGTTTTAAATGCATTAACTATCTCAACTAGAGAGGCAATGATGATTTCTGTGTATACAGCTGTGTGGCCATCACCTAGATCAGGAAGTAGGGTGCTATGGGGAAGAAATTGGGAAACTTATTTTCAGCTCACAGTGGGTCTGGGGAGAAACAAGTGTAGGCAGAAGATCCAGTGGTGGCAGCAGAAAGAACAAGCAGATTAAGTCAGTGGTGAGGGGTCCAGGGGCTGTTTGTTTTCTATGGATGCATTAGGCAAGGTTATGAGGTTTTTTGGCTCAACCATAATGTCCATTCATCCCCAACTTGCCACCTTGACCTTAATTTCAAATATTTTGTCACTCTGTTACCCCAACTGGAGTAGTTTTTTTCCTCACTATGCAAATCAGGAAGATGATTTGCGTCCTTGTTTTTGGCTACCTGTAATTACCATAGGAAGTGTGGATGTCTGCTCGCTTTGGACTGAGACATCCACCTCACGATCTCAGCAGAAAAGCAAGGCCTTAGGGAAGTGGGAAGCTGGCGAGTTTGTTATCAGCACTTCCCTGTGTCCTCCATACCTCTTCCCAAGGGCTGCTTCTTGGGAATCATAGTATAAAATGCATGAAGGTCCTGGAGCTCCCAGGGTAACTTCCTTTTTTTGGAGCATCTTGAAAACTGGAGGCCTTCCCAAGAAAGGTGTTCCAATAGGTAGGCAACCAGAGTTATTTCAGAGAGGAGGGCTCCTTGGTGCCTCCGTGTCATGTACCCCATGTGGTCTCTACCCATAGATCCATCCCAGTCAACAGTAGAGTTCTTGGCATCACTTAGTAAAGAGAGGAATGCAAAACTTTTACATGAAGCAGCTCACTCTCATTCAGGTGTTGTCCAAATGTGTGGAAGCAGGTCTGTGCAGCTTTGTAGAGAGGCTATTCTGGTAGCGTTGTGTGTGTGCCTTTCTTCATGGGTCCGGAGCACCCACACTTTGCAGGGTCATGCCTTTGTCTGGGAGACAAAACTGTAGGAGCAAGTTCCATCATCATTTGGAAGGTATGGGGGAGGCAGACAGTAAACAGTGATGCAGTGGAGGCTCAGAGGAGAGGGAGGTTGGCCGTGGGGACTGAGGAGCCAACCTTTTGAGTAGAGTCAGGGTTTCATGGGAGTCTCCCAGTTAAAGGAGGGGGCAAGGGACAGACACACGGTATAGTCAGGACACTCGAAAAGCCAGGGCAAGGGAGGACATGGCTGTTTCTGGAACAGGAGCCCTCAAGGTTCTTAATATTGAGGCACGGCCTGTGATAATATGGCCTATGATCGCCTAATCCCTAAATTTGTAAAAATCACTACAATGTATTATATAATTGCTTCTACAAAGTGCAAGTAAAATTTTTGTGATCCTATTAAAACCCTTAATCCGTAAATAAAGGAAAAAATGTCATTTAAAATAACTTTCTCCTAACCAAATGTTCTGTTGAGTCATGTGTTTCCTGTGTACTTCCTTATCCGTAAACCCTTGGGCCTTCTCTAAAGTTTTGTCTCTTGGTAAGCCATTGTCCTTGATGACAGAGCTTCGTAAGTTGATTGCTCTTCTTCCATTTAAAGCTCATGGGGGATCCATTCACATCATAGATTTCACCACCACTAAACCTGAAACTCTAGCCTATTCAAGACCTGGTTTCTGACCAAGAGCCAACACTCTCTTAGACGCCTTCCCTTTCTCATCACTTCTGTCAAAGAAAGCCTAGAATTGGCTTTCTTTGGGGGAGACCTTTCATAAGGTGCACAGAAAAATAGCTTTGAGTTGTGCAGGCTGGATAGTGGCAGGATGGGTTCAGAAGCCACACATCTCGTACTTACACGCAGCTGGCAATGTGTGGGGCTCACTGTCATACTTGGAGAAACCAGCTGTGTGTTTTAGACCTTGAGTCACTGCTGCTGAGTAACAAAGACCTTAGATTTCAGAAGGTTCAGCTCTATTCCACCTGACAGTGGAGCACTGGGGAACTGCAAAACCATTAGCCTGACAGAGTCTGGGCATGCTCCTAATGGGCAGGGAGCCTCTCAAAGACTTCAGCTGGCCCTGGCTGGTGTGGCTCAGTGGATTGAGTGCCAGCCTGCGAACCAAAGGGTCACTGGTTCAAGTCCTAGTCAGGGCATGTGCCTGGGTTGCGGGCCAGGTCCCCAGTAGAGGGTTTGCAAGAGGTAACCACACAGTAATGTTTCTCTCCCTCTCTTCCTCCCTCACCCTCTAAAAATAAATTAAATAAATAAATAAATAAATAAATAAATAAATAAAATCTTTGAAAAATAAAAAACTTCAGCTGGAGAAGTACCTTTCAGGATTATGTTACAAAGATGCCTGACATTTGTGGGGTACAGATTGGAAAGGCAGAGAACTAATCCCTAAGGGTAAAGAGAGGCAAGGCAGAAGGAGGGGCTGGGTGTCTGGAGTACATGGTAGATCAAGAAGACTTTTGTTTGCGTGGTCCATGCAGCAGGAGGGCCTTTTGGAGAATAACTGTGGATCCCAGCCTGGCTGATGAAGTAGCCTGGCTACTGGTCCACAGAGATGGAGAAGTGCAGACTATGTAGGAGGCCCAGCTTCAGGGACACATGCCACACAGGGGTTCAGTGGGCTGTTGGTTGCAGTCTGAGTATCACTGAGTTGCCAGGAGAAGTTGAGAAATCACTGGCTACAGCTGGAGCTGGCAAACTAGGCTTCGTGGGCCAGGAAGCAAAATCAAAGATATTTTGTAGAGACTTATATAATAAGAAAAAAAATAGTGATAAAATTTAAAATAGTAATTGAAGAAAATAATAATAGAGTTTTTTTGTAATACAGGTCTACTTATGAGAAGACTGAAATTCTTAATTCAGGTTCAAAGTTAATATTCCCTATCATTTAATTAAGTGATTGCCAGTGGACATCTGTAAAGGCTATTCTCAGCTGTATAAAAACAGCTAGTGGGCTGGATATGGCCTGAAGGTCAACACTTTGCTGAGTCCCAGTCTAAAGTACCCAGTTGGTTGTTTCATATGCTTCTCCTCCACCTGGGGCTGGGATCCTTGTTTTCCTGAGGGAGGGCCACCTAACCAGATGCCTCGTCTTTAAAGCAGGTGTCTCGGAAGCTTGATACATTGGGCAGCGGGGCTCCCAAGATGTGCTGATGGAATCTCTTCTTAGGTCAGGGAAGGTATTTGATTTTCTCACACAGGATTCCTTGAAAAGACTGTACTGTCATAAGTGTTTTTTCTTTGTAAAAAGTTTCTTTTTTCTTAACTTTTATCAAAAGATTGAAAGACGCTATAAGTACAAGTAAAGAACAGGAAGCACAGTACCAGGCCAGCCACCCAAACCTCAGGAAGCTGAATGACTCAGGTTAGTGGGGACCTGCGCTCCCTCCTACATTTGGGTTTTGTGGGGAGATTTCTGGATTTGGTTTTGGCCCTGAGTGGATGGGGTGAGGGGGGGGGGGCAGGGACTTCAGCTGCTGTCATCCCTCATGCTGAGTAAAGGGTGTTAGGGACCCAGCGCTGCTCTCAGGGAGCTGGAGGTGGGCATTACTTTGGAGGGTGGAATAACAGAGTAGGAGCCTATTCCCATTGAAAATGAGCCTGAGTTGTGGCAGTGAAAAGTCAACTGCAGGACAACCCCTAGGTAAATAGAATAATGGCCCCCTAAACATGTCCACATCCTAATCCCCAGATCTTGTGTAACTATGTTAGGTTATATGGCGAACAGGGAAATATGGTTGCAGAAGGAATTATAGTTACTAATATGTTGGCCTTGAGGTGGGGAGATTATCCTGGGTTATCCAGTCGGGCCCAGTGTAATCACAAAGGTCCTTTCTAAGTGGAAAGGGCGACAGAAGAAGGAGTCTCATAATGTGAGACTGCAGATGCTACATTGCTGGCTTTGGAGATGGAGGAAGGAACCCTTACTAAGGAGTGCAGGTGACCTCTAGAAGCTAGAAAAGGTTAGGAATTGGATTCTCCCTGAAAACCTCCAGGAGGAATATATAACGCTGTTGACACTTGGATCTTCGCCCAGTGAGACCCATGTTGGACTTCCCGACCTCCAGAACTTGAGGATAAGCTTGTTAGTTACAGCAGTAGTAGGAGACTAATACTGCCCTGAAGCGTGAGTCGGGTGAGAAGCAGCATCATGGAAAAGGTGTGCAAGATAGAATGTTTTGTGTAAAATCATCCCATTAATATCAAAGGACAAGCCCAGAAATATCCCTTACCAGAAAAGGAATTTAGGCCTCCTGGGGGCTTCTGTAGCCCCCTAGAAAGCCAGGAACATGGGAAGGGCTCAAAAATCCAATCCTTCAAGGAAAGCAGGACACACCCTGAAATCACCAGAATCTACCACTGTCATGATTGACAAAACTAAGGAGAGGCCTGATGGAGGAAGAGCCGGGGGTCAGGAAAGACCGAGATCAACAGCTCAGTCTGGAAAGGCAAAAAACCACAAGAGGAAATGAGAGAAAACTAAAATAAACCCCCCAAAAAATCAAGCTCTTTGTACTCTGAAGTGGAGCAGGAGCCCTACACCCAAGAGACATGATTTTAAGGAATTAAAGGGAGTTTTATTTTGTGTGGTGTGTATTAAGAGACTTAAAAAAAAATGATACTGCATTTGTATGAATGGCTTCAGTAGGGTTAGCTACAGGGAAAACACTAAGTGTGAAGGGAATATTTCCCCTAGAGATGTAAACTAGGATGACAGACAGGCTTTTCTGTACATTTAGAAACTAAAGTTCAAGAGAGATTTGTTTCTAGGTACGATTGTATATTATTTTAACATTTTTCCTTGTTTCAGGTGAAAAGACAGTATAGAAATAAGTTTCAAATAGAAAAAAATTACTCATCATCCAATTTCTATAAAAATAACAACTTTCATTTTTAAACCTTGTCTTTTAGACTTTGCCTGTGAGCCTGTGTAGTTGTGCATTACTGCATTTCCACTGCCATATTATTACTTGTGTGAATATATGTCTCCTGAGCTTTTATGCCAGTATCTGACCAGGTCAGCCGTAGATTAAGGGTGTTTGATCTCCGAAGGGCTGCCCTGAGGATGCATCTCTCTCCCCCACAAACCTGCCCATTGTTCTTGCTCCTGCACGTTATCCATTGTCACACTTAGGTTTTTGAATGGCCTCTGAACCAGCCACTTAATTCCTCCCACCCGTTATTCCAGATTGAGATTAATTTGATGAAGCAACATTTCTAGGGACAGCAGTTAATTGTTCTCCTCATATTTCTTTCTAAACTGAGACTCCATCCCTGAAGGGGCCATATCTGCTGTGAGTACTGAGGCTTACCCGAAGAACCCACACCTTCGAGCTTACCACCAGAAGATCGACAGTAATCTAGGTAAGAATGGAAGCTGCACCAGCCTTCTCAGGTCCCTTATTTGAGACAGTTGCTTTCCAGGTAGCTCGTGTTGAGTCTGCCAGTGCACTAGTAGGCACCCAGGTTCTCAGGACTAAAACCTGGTTGTCTGCCTCTCTGTGGCCATATGTCAGTTCCAACACAAGATGTGTCCATCTCAGCCCTCACTCTCTGGAGTCTGTTCACTTCATTTCATTTTCACCACTTGTCTGGATTGTGACATCAGCCGGGACCAGGAGTCCCTCAGAGACCACACAATGCAGCCTGAACCCTGCTCACTTCATTCTTACCACCTGGCATGTGGAGCCCCAGTTCCTCCTCTGTCCCCTCCTTTTGCATCCAGAAGTTATGGGGACTTATCTTCCTGGCACTAGAACCCTGGGCTGGGGGACTGGTGTGGGGCTGGGACTCCTTGCTCCCCAGATATCCCTCCCGAATTTTTGTCCACCACACGTGGATGTGGGACCAGCCCGTTCTGCACCTCCATCCCTCCTACTGAAGTGGATTGGATGTGGTTTCCTTAATTCCATAGTTGTCAGACTTCTATTCAACTAGATTTCTGACAGTTCTGAGTGATCATTGTTCTATAATTTAGTTGTAATTTTGATGTGTTTATGTGAGGAGACGAGCTGTGTTTATCTATGCCACCATCTCAACCAGAGGTCTAGGGTCTTTCTTTTAAGCATTTAAAGAAACCTTCATAGAAATACTTATTTTAGAGAATAGACATAAGTGAGAACAAATAGAAAAACTGTAATTCCACCACCCACAACTCACCACTGCTTCTCTCAGAGTAAATGTCATCACTAGACCTGCATGGCCTCAGGGGAGAGGGCCCTTCTCAGCCTCTCCATGCCCGGGCAGGTTCTGCACCAAATTTCACCTGCCCTTTGCCCTGAAAGGCCAGAGAGCCACCCATTGCTTCTGTCCTCTGGACTCTGCCCTGGAGTCAAAGACCTCAGGTAGAAGGTGCATCTGCTGGATCTATTTCAGAGAAACAAAAGGGCTTGAAAGCCATCAGTCCTCCCCACCAAAGGTTTTCCTGGAGAGAGACCTGGGGAAGGTACAGAATTCATCATATCCAACTCACCTTTTACAGGCTGAGGATACAGGGTTGGAATGAGAACTTACAGCCTGGTGTGGAGGAAGGCTGGAGTAGAACAGGGAGACCTCAGAGCTTGGCCACCAGGCCCTGTTGACACTAGCCATGCAAGGATGCCCTGGTAGGTTAGCTCTTTCCTTCATACCAGGGACTCCCTTGCCTGGTGGCTTTACTTTATCGCACATTTTATCTCTGTCTAGCTATCTGCCTATTCTTTGCTGTTCCAGCTGCCGACAAGCTTCCTGATATCAGTGGCCTCACAGGTTTCACTTTCCTTGATCATAGGTTCCAAGAAACTCAAGAAGCACAAGGCTAAAGACTTATTTTTTTAAAGTTGATCCAGCTTAGATTTGTGGTACCAGTATTTGTGGATTCTGGCCTTTTTTCACTTAGTGTTTGATCTGTGATTTAGCAGTTAGAAGGTTTATGAAGCACCACCTCGTCTGTCCTCTCTCTGGCTCTTTTCTGTCCTGCTGTTCTCAGTAAAAGGGCAGAAAGCAGCTCTGAGCATGCCACCAATTTTCACTCCCCTTGTACAGATGCATGTGTGTATATGCACATACACACACAGAGTCATGAAACCTGGGAATAAGGTTTTATCATTCATCCAGACAAAATCAAGTCAAGACTCATTTCTAAAGTTAGCACGGCCCCGTCTGGGGGCCCTATCAAAGGACTGCGCATGCCTCTTTATGTCATCTGCACCATGGAAGCCTTTCACGTACTCCTAAGGCTGGCCATGACCTTACAGACATTGTCCCTCTCCAAAACAAATGTGAGATTGATCTTTATAACTTTTTGAAACAGTAGGAAGATGTTACCAATAGTAGAACAATCTAATGAGGAAAATTGAATGAGCTCACAAGGGGGGCTCATTGTCCCAGGCGCTCCTGGGGCCTTTCCCTCACAGTTGGCTCACCTCAGCTGTAGTCACAGTCCTAGGTAGGGTCAGAATTTGCACTCAGGCCCAGTAGAATTAGCCTGCATTTCCCCCATACTAACTTCCCCTGGGTGGAAGTGTGGCTCTTGTGTTTGAACTTGAATTTCAATAATGATGTAACAACCTAGCACAAGAGCTGAACCTTTGCCAAAAGCAATGTACTCCACAGTTACCTGGGGCTCAGCCATCTGGCATCTCTGAAGGAACTCAGCACCTTCAGCACTTTTGACATGGGGACACCAGGCTGCAGGAATTTGTGTACCCAGCTTGTTCAGAGGCCACTGCCTTCTTTCTGATCACAAAGCAAGCAAAAGAAATGGTGCCAGGCCAGTTCTGGGAAATGCAAGCTGTTGTACCCCAGAACATTGGCAGCATCAATGCGTTCATGGATCCGGGAAATGGTAGCAGTGAATGAATGAATGTGGGAAAGTGTGAATTTTCATAACATAGGTAAAGGGACCTCAGAGCATCTGGGTCCAGTGGGAACATCTGGACCCAGTTCATTTGTTTTCTGGTAAAACATACCAGGTGACCAACTCCCATCCCCCTTCTCTTGCCACTTGCAGAGTGAACCAGCAGGGTGCAGCCTTCTGCAAGGGACAGGTCTTCCCCAGTCTGTCTCTCAGATGTATTTCCAAACAGGGATCTTCATATTTTTAACTCTGAATTTGAGCTTGATCTAGCTTTAGGGAGCTAGAGATGGGAGGAAGGAAAGCAGGCACTACCCACTGCCATAAGGATTTTGTTGAAGAGCAAGCCAGTGAGCCTGGCTGTTAATAACCAGGGTACCTCTCCCAGATACTCATCATGGGGTCCAGGAAGGAAACTTGTTTCCAGGCCCCTCTGTGTTCTTTCCCATGGGTACTGATCTTGCAGTTTACAGCATCCTATAAAAAGATTCAGAGGCCACTGAAAAATTATGTAGATCAATATGCACTTTATAAAACACTGGAAGGACAAAACACCATTATATTAACAGTGGTTATCTTGTGTGGTCAGTGTTGGGAGAAGTGGCTTTTACATTAAGAACATACTACTTTTGCCCTGGCCATTGTGGCCATTGTGTCATCCTATAACCGAAAGGTTGTGGGTTCAATTCCGGGTCAGAGCACATCCCAAGGTTGCAGGTTCAATCTCCAGTCTGGGTGTGTACAGAAGACAACTGATCAATGCTTATTTCTCGCATTAATGTTTCTCTCTCCCTTACTCTTTGTCTGAAAGCAATGAAAAAGATGTCCTCTGGTTAGAATTTAAAAAAGAACATTACTTTTTATTGAGTAAGCAGATTTTCTTTTTACTTGTGCATATTTTAGAAAATGTAACCAAAGCCCTGAAGGTTAGCCTGTTATGTGAGAATGAGGACTTCATAATCTAAATGTCACTGAACACCTGGGAGGGAACAAGCAGCAGTTCCCAATGCTATCACTGTTTGCTTAGGCCTGCATGTCCTTTCTCTCTTCCCACAGATGAGCTGTCCATGGGACTGGGCCGGCTGAAGAACATAGCCCTGGGGATGCAGACGGAAATTGAGGAGCAGGATGACATTATTGACCGCCTCACAACCAAAGTGGACAAGTTAGATGTCAATATAAAAAACACAGAAAGAAAAGTTCGACAACTTTAAAGACAGTGAAGGATTTCCACTCCATTGTGATGAAAAGATTTGGAAGATCTTTTAAACTCCCAAGAAATTTCATTTATTATTTTAGTATGTAATTTAACATGTGTTTGCAAATGTTACAATAGAGTTGGTCTTAAGAGATTTTGTTATAGGAAGTGTGCATCCCACTCTTTGTGAGAGTCAACACCTCGTTCCCTTCTTTGAATGCTTAGAGTTTTAGCCTGAGCACAGTCTCCTTGCCCCAAATATCTTGGGCCTTTACTATTACCATGTTGGAATGAGAAGAAAAAGTTAGAGTTCTCACCTCAGAGAGCATATGGAAAGATGTGGGCAAAATTTCAGTCTGTTTGTTGTATATCTCATTCCTAGGCCTTACCTTAATCAGAGTGCTATAGGACCCTGTGAGCCAGCTGCTTGTGCAGGAGGGTCCGTCTTCCCCATACCTTTATTTAGCAGTCATCATCTCTCCTCTGTGCCCCACACACATGCATGCACACTTCGAGCACATCATAATTCTCTTAACCTCTGGAAAAGGATCAGTTTGAGGTTCAGAAATGGAATGTGTCAGCATTCTTTGCTATTTTCTTGACAAGATGTCACCTTTTCCTCTCCTGGCCTCCATCCTTGATGTGCAATGTAGTAGAAAGTGTTTAGACCAGCCCTGCTAACTGTGACACCTGAAAATAGGTAGGGAATTGGGTAAGCCCTTCTTCCCTGTGCACCTTCATTCCTGACTTTCTGTTTGTGATTAGGAACAGATTTTCCACTGGCTCAATGCTGTGCCTGGCTGACCAACTGGGGGCCCTATGGAGTTGGTCAGAATGGAGCATCACACCCACATGGCCACGCAGTGGTCTTCCTACACTGAGCCCACCACTCCTTTGAGACTCTTCCTGACCAGGCCTCAGATACTGGGTATGACAGTGTTCACTCAGGGCCTAGGTTTCCTCACCCATACATGGTTCCCACTCACTCTCCTTGCACATCTTACAAGGTGACTTGATTCAGCACTTGGTTCTCTGCTGCCCAGTTTCAGGACTGGAACTCCACAAATGATGCAGACTTTGTTTAGAAGGATTTGGCTAAAAGAGAAAGCCTAGACATTATCATTTTAACTGGCCCAGCTTGTTCTTTCATTTCACAAAAAGAATTACTTAAAAGCATTCATTACAATTGATTTCTATAATTAAATGGATTTCTTCGTGTTGGTACTGCCAGCAAAATAATTGAAGCATTAAGGCTCTCTTGTCTTTTTAAAAAGCAAATTAATTAAAATATTTTGAAGATGGTGAAAGTGAACAAAGGGACTGATTTTAATGACAGTTTAGGTCAGAAACTTTAAAATAACAGTGCCTTCACCTTGAAACATGGCACTGGCTAGATTTTAAACATATACCCAGCCCAAACTAAAGTTCTCAGGGCTTTCAGCAAAAAGGCTGCTCAAAAAGCATAAAGCCACAGTACAGAGAAGCCAGTGTGTACATCTCCACTCATTCTAATAGTTTGGTTTTTCCCTAACATCTTCCTCCATGTAGTAACTTTCTGCTTATTATCATCAGGCATACACTCATGAAGATCAGTCATTATACCTCAGACCTAGACTTTTTTTTTTTCCTTCAAATAAAGGCCACCCACTGCCAAACACTCTCTTCTGCAATCTCCCATTTCCGTAATGGGATTAGTGATTTAACTGACTTGAAGCAAGTAGTACCATATTTTAAATATCTTCCCTCTCTTTCTTGGATTGATAAAGCCAATCACCTCATCTCATGTTTTTAACCCATGCATATGGAAGGAAAGTTGCCCTCACTTTTATAGAAGTTTGCCTTCCTCTGGCATATTAGCCTCATGTCTTATTTTGTTCTTGTTCAGGCCCCCTAATTCTAAGGCCTCTGCCAAGGGACTGTGTCTAAGCCATGTGCTGGCCAGCAGCTTCTTTCTTCTGGGTCTTCATCCCTGCGCCAACGCTCACAAAAGACCCGTTGCTGATTCTGCTTGATAAAGCAAAGTTGTTTGCATTTTCAGATTACAAAGGAAGACCTGAGGAGCCTCTAGAATCTTTGCACATGATGGTGATGATCAAAAAAGACACTCAGAGATGCCCAGGTTGGGGTTGGGTTTGGGATGGGCTTTGGTATGACAGACAAGACTAATGAACTTACCCTTCTTGCCAGATGGGGCCCGTAAGACAGATTTTTACTTCCACAGTCAAGCTGGAAACAAACTGTGCCTTCAAAAAAGTGGTTTTTCTAACTTTAGGTTGGTTATGTTAAATGTGCTAACTAAAAAATAAGTGCATTCTCCTCCAGAGGAAACTCTAACATCTAGTGATTTGTAACTTAGCAGGGGGGTTGTCTTTTTTTGCATTCTGTAGGAAGGGAGACCTGAATTTCACTCAGGTGGCAAGAAATATAGAAGTGCATTTTAATTTCTCTAACTTTTATGAATATTTAATTTTAAGTGTACACTACACCAATTTAGTGAAAATCTTATACTTTGCCTCTATAGGCTTTTCTGAAGAATTTTTAAAGTTAGCAATGTTGAGCATCTTTCAGCTCTAATGGATGAAATGTCTAATGTACAGAATCATGATCTAGTCATTAAAAGTGCTCCTGGGAAGGTGGGCTTTTTGTTCGGTCTGTGTGAGAACAGCTCTTAACGCTCCATGCCTTCAACTTAACAATGACCATATTCCATGAAATAAAATGTGAAGTTTTTAAATCAGCTTCTGTCTCCTACATAGTTACTTTCAAAGAGTTGGTGCAGGGGAATCCTCCTAATTGAGTCATTCTGCATATGTCCTTCCCTGCCGCATTTAGCTCCCTGCCACATTTAGTGTATGTACAAGCTTCCTTCTTGAAACCCTCATCTCATGTCAGACTGCTCTTTGGATCTGACTTCTACCTCAATGCCCCTTATGCAGAAGTGTCTAAATCAAGGCTCAGCGAACTGTAAAGGGGCAGAGAGTAAGTGTTTAGGCTCACAGGCCAAACTGTCTGTCACAACTACTCCACAATTGTAGCATAAAAGCAGCCAAAGATGATACGTGTCCATGTTCCAATGAAACTTGAATACTGAACTTTTGATAGAATTTTTACATGTCACAAAGTACTTTGATATTTTTGTTTTAATCCTCACCTAGGAATACGCTCATCGGTTTTAGAGAGAGGAGAAGGGAGGGGGAGTGAGACATGGTCACTTGCATCTGGTATACACTCTCACTGGGATCAAACCAAAACTTGGATATGTGCCTTGACTAATGATCAAACCCACAGCCTTTTGGTGTATGGAATGATGCTCCAACCAACTGAGCTACCGGGCCAGGCAGGTCTCTGAATTTTTGTTGGCATTAGAAACTGAATGTCCTGATTTGCCCTACTACACAGCATTTTGATGGCTTAGCAATGGTAAAGTTTTATTGCAGTTTGTTTTTTTTTTTTTCCTGCTCAGAGCTAAGACTTCAGAACAGAACCATTCTAAACCATTATTACTGAATACTTAATGGCCTTGGAAATTAGCTTTTGCTACATAATTGATGTTTCTTAATTCAGCCGAAAATTATAGGGCAAAACAGTGCTTATATGTGAAATGTATACTGCAGAAAAGTCCTTTTGACAATGATGTTGTTCTGAAGTACAAGTAATGTTAAGCTGCTTTATACACTTCCCGTGCTGTCAGTTTAAACAAAAGCAAGCTCTCCATTCCCACACAAATTTGCAGCACATATATTTTCTGAGCTCAAATTACAGTTCCAGCAGCATTTTCAGATCCTAATGTCAAGTGCAATGGAAATTTGCATATTTCAAAATCCACTTAATTGTGCAATTGAGGAACTTCCATCTAACTTTCAATTGTAGATAATTAATTTGCAATGTAACAAGTTAAAAGGCTTCCTTTCAGACTTACGTACCTGTACCCAGATCAATAAAGCAGAAACAGAGATTTTTGAGTGGCATTTCCCAGATTGGTAGGTCCTTTGCTATATAATATTTTAAAAAATTTATTGACTTATTTCAGAGGGAGAGAGAAAGAAACTGATTTGTTTCTTCTATGTGCCCTGACTGGGGGCAGAACCGACAACCTCAGTGTATCCAGACGAGGCTTCAATCCACTGCGCTATCCGGCCAAGGCCTGGACCGGCTTTCTAGCCTGTCCAGTTCCTGGGCTGGTGCTACCAATTACCTGGCACCAGCAGCCGGGAGGTTTTTCTCGACAGTCATTTGTTCAACAAATATTTGAGCATCAAGTCAGGGCCACGCCATTGCGCTAGGCCCAGGGGTGAACAAAACAGACAATGTCTGCACTTTCTTAAAATGTACATTCTAGTTGTGGGGTAAGGAACAGAAAGGCTAGGAGGGTACGGATGGAGCCGGGTACACAAGGGGATAATAAAAGACTAAGATAAGTAGGCTGAACCCCCAGCAGGGACGGCCTTGAGGCCACGCCCGAGAGCCGTCCGCATTTTATTCAGCGCCAGTAACGACCAGGCAGTGTTTCCTAGACCACTTATCCTGTCAGTCCAACCTTCTTACCCTCGACTAGTGCCTGTTGGGTCACTCGGCCACTCCGGGTCGCTCAGCCTACCAGAACACCTCAGGTCAGGGTCACCTAGTCCCTAATCTGGTGGTCGCCTCCGCTCCACGGTCATCTCCTTCCTAAGCCTCCTCAGCCCATCCGGGACTGTCCCCTCGGTCGGCCAGGTCACCTCAGTACCACGCCTCCCTGGCCGGAGATTCAGCCTGCACGTTATGCTTTGTTCCCAGAGCAGGTTTTCGAAATGCCGCTCCTACTCGGCTCCAGCTGTTTTCTTGCCAGCGCGAGGAAACCCGGGAGCTGCAGCGCCCCCGGCGGCGTACCAAGGGCCCAAAAGGGAGTGCCCGCTACCGCCGACTCCCCCGCCTCCTCCCGGAACGCGGGAGCCGGAGCGAGCGGCGCAGGCCCAAACCGTCACGACCGCGCTCCTGATTGGCCGCGCCGCGCGACATAAGGAGAGGGCCCCGGTGGCCTGAGTGAGCCGGTGCCCGCGCGTGCGCATCAGGTCGCGCAGAGCGGAGGGGGTGGTGGCCGGCTGCTTCTCCCGCGTCCGCCATTTTGTTGCTGTGGCTCTTGGGAACCGGCTAGGCAAAACCGCCCTGGAGGCGCGACGCTCTTTGGAGTTTGGTACTTGGTGTAGCAGCCGGGGTCGGTGCAGAGCCGTGGGGGCGCGGAGCCGGCGCGTTTCAGGCCAGGAGTAACTGGAGGGAGGCTCTCCCGGTACGCGGGGCAGCCCGAGAACGCCGGGGCGGCCTCTGCTGCGGCTCGGCATCGCCCGCCCCGACCTCGGGTTCTGCCCCGCATTCCCCGAACCGGCGCCTTCCGTGAGGCGGCCCCGGAGCAGGCGGGCTAAGGCGGAGAATGCTGTGGGACCAGAGCCGAGGGGAAGGTGCTGGCTCGGCCATCTAGGCACGCCTCGAGGTGTCCCGAGAGGCCCTTCTTGGGTCCGAAAGCCGTCTGCCGGGAGGAGGTGTCCAGAGCAGGCGAAAGCAGCCGCCGCCCCGACCCGCCTCAGAGCCTCGGCCCGGCACCATGTCCTCCGCCAGGTTCGACTCCTCAGATCGCTCCGCCTGGTACATGGGGCCAGTGTCTCGCCAGGAGGCGCAGACCCGGCTCCAGGGCCAACGCCACGGAATGTTTTTAGTCCGCGACTCCTCCACCTGCCCCGGGGACTATGTGCTGTCGGTGTCCGAAAACTCGCGGGTCTCCCACTACATCATCAACTCGCTGCCCAACCGCCGTTTTAAGATTGGGGATCAGGAGTTTGACCACTTGCCGGCCCTGCTGGAATTCTACAAGATTCACTACCTGGACACCACGACCCTAATCGAGCCCGCGCCCAGGTACGCGAACGCCCGCGCTCTCGGGGCGTGCTACCCACCCGACCCCGGAGGAGGGTTGACAGTGGCCGAGTTGGTGCATGGGGTCGATCCAAGAGTGTGTGTATGGGTACGGGTGATTGAACTCATTTCCTCCTAGTGTGAACTAAATTATTTCCCAGAAAGCATTCCGAATAGAAAGCTAGTGTCAGAGTCTGAGTCACTGGATTAGGGGATGCGTCTTAAACACGTTAACGGCGGTAGCATAGTAAAAAATTAAAATGCACGATTTTTGTCTTTCGTCACGTTCCCTATTTAGTTATGACACTAAAGCAGGATTTTGTTTTTTGGTTTTGTTTTTTTTTTAAACCTTTTTTGAACCACAGACTTTTTTGAGAATCTGAAGATAGCCGTTGACATCCTCCCTCAAAATGCACGTACACGCACGTCTACACACCATTGAAGGCTCTTGAACTCCCTGCAGATTTCTGAACTCTAGGTTAAGAACTCCTGTCCAGGAGCCTTTGGAACAGTCGGCAAATGAAAATGCTCTACCATTTAGGAACAAAAGCCTGTAACTGAAATATCAGACCTGTATATTAATACCTTGGTGCCAAGTTTGAAGTAGCCAGACGCGTACTATATTATACATTAAATACAAAAATTTTAAAAGAGGGCACATTAGTTTTAGTGAGGATTTCCTTTTGAATTTTTATTTTATACTGTTTCCCCAAGCTGGATCGTTAGTAGGCTCGAAATCCATTTGCTTATATTCCAAGGAAGAATAAGCCTAGAATGTTTACTTACTAAGGGAAATCTTTGAATGACAATTTTTTTCTATCCTAGTTGAATTAACTTTTTGTTTTAAGTCTAATGATTTACTATCTGTTTTAGAGTTAAGAACTGATACTGAGCATCAAGCATCCCATTTTCCAAGTAAAATGCATTTTTTTTAATTATTTGCTTTCATCGGTGTTTTATCAGAGGTTTCTTCCATTTAAGTTATGTCAAATTTGAGCTGAAGGAATTGCCTAAAATTTTACAAATAAGAGGCATTTTATTTGTTTCTGCCTAATTTGTTTCTTAAACATCTATTTTAAAAGGACAGAGTGTTAATGCAGATTTTTTTCAGGGTGAAATGTTTATAATTTTATAGATTTGCTGACAAGATATTACTATGAGCTTTAAATATTGAAAGCGACTGTAATTGAGTACTCATTGGATGCCTATTCTGTGTTGTGTCTGTGGAATAGAGATAGAGAAGAAACAAAGCAATGACAATATAATGGCTGTAAGATTAACTACTGAAGTAAATGGACTTGAAAAACTGGGAGAAAGTGATTATAAATCAAATAGTGTATAACAAAGACCTAGGCACCAAGAACCTGATTGGTGAAACTGCCATTCCCTGAAGATGCTAGTAATTGGATTCAACTTTGAACACAATATAATAATATAAGGGGTTGTAGAGCATTTTAGAACCCACTCTAATGAGGTTTTGTAATATATTTTAGTAAAGACTTCCGCAACTTGGGAAGGTGAATTACATCATTAATTTGAGGCGTTTATTAAGCCAAGGTATATGCAAGGCATTGTGCTTACATTGAGGTGACAGGTACCATAATATAGCTGTTCCAAAAAGTGAGCAAATAAATGGCTTGAGCCCTGACTGGTGTGGCTCAATGCCAGCCTGCAAACCAAAAGGTTGCTGGTTTGATTCCCATTTAGAGCACATGCGTGGGTTGCAGGCCAGGTCCCCAATTGGGGTCCTGCAGAGAGGCAGCAGATCCTTGTCTCTCTCACACATTAATGTTTTTCCTCCCTCTCTTTCTCCCTCCCCCTGTCTCTAAAAATAAATAAATAATCTAAAAAATAG